ACAGCCATCCTAGAGGGTGTGAAGTGGTATCTCATTATGGCTGATTTGCACTTCCCTTATGATTAATGATTACTATTTTCTTGAGACAGGGTCTTGCTCTGTTTCCCAGGCTGGAATGCAATAGCATGAATGGGGCTCACAGCAACCTCAACTTCCTAGGCTCAAGCAACCATAGCTGGGACTACAGATATACAGCACTATGCTCTACTAGTTCTTAAAATTGTTTCAAGTGTCAGCTTTTTTTTTGAGATGGCGTTTCACTCCTGTTGCCCTGGCTGGAGTGCAATGGCGTGATCAGCTCGCTGCAACTTCCGCCTCCCAGGTTTAAGCGAATTTCCTGCCTCATCCTCCCAAGTAGCTGGGATAGCTAGGATTACAGGCATGTGCCACCACAACCGACTAAGTAAAGACAGGGTTTCTTCATATTGGCCAAGGTGGTCTTGAACTCCTGACCTCAGGTGATCCACTCGTCTCGGTCTCCCAAAGTGCTAGGATTACAGGCGTGAGCCACCGTGCCCAGCCTCAAGTGTCTGCTTTCGGTGAAGAAGAAAAAAATTTTTTTTTTCATGAAGGTCTCATCATGTTGCCCAAGCTGGTCCTGAACTCCCGGGTTAGGTGATCTTCCCACTACAGATGGTTACCCAAAGTGCTGGGATTATAGATGTAAGCTACCACTCCAAGCCACTTTTTATGTTTGTTTTTTTGAGGAGTCTCACTCTGTTGCCCAGGCTGGAGGGCAGTGGCACCATTTCAGGTCACTGCAACCTCCGCCTCCCAGGTTCAAGTGATTCTCCTGCCTCAGCCTCCAGAGTAGCTGGGACAACAGGCACACACCACCACATCCATCTAATTTTTGTATTTTTAGTAGAGATGGGGTTTCACCATATTGGCCAGGCTGATTTCAAACTCCTGACCTCATGATCCACCTGCCTCAGCCTTCCAAAGGGTTGGGATTACAGGCATGAGCCACGGCACCTGGCCTTTTTTTTTTTCTTTAAAGAGACAGGGTCTTGCTCTGTCTTCTGTGCTGGAGTACAGTGGCTCAATCATAGCTCCCTGCAGCCTCAAATTCCTGGAATCAAGCAATCCTCATACCTCAACCTCCCAAGTAGCTGGGCCCTCACATGCACACCACTACATCCAGCTAATTAAAAAAAATTTTTGTAGAGATGGGTTAACTATGTTGCCTAGTCTGGTCTCAAAGTCCTGGCCTTAAGCAGTCCTCCAACCTCAGCTTCCCAAAGTGCTGGGATTATAGCCCTGAGCCACCAAGCCCAGCCTGATTTTTTTTAAATGTGCTTATTGCCCAGTTGAGTATCTTCTTTGAAGAAATTTCTATTCAAATCTTTAGCCCAGTTTTTAATTGGGTTATTTGTCTTTTTTACTTAGTTCTAAATGTTCTTAATATATTCTGGATCCTAGATTGTTGTGAGATATTATTTCAAACATTTTCTCCCATTCTGTGTGCTGTCTTTTTGTTTTCTAGTTGGTGTTGCTTGGAGCACAAAAGTGTTCAATTTTCACATAGTCAAATTCATCCATTTAAAAATCTTTTCTGTATTATTCTGGTTTGTTTTGTTTTAGACAGTCTCACTGTTGCCCAGGTTGGAGTGCAGTGGCTCACTGTAATCTCCGCCTCCTGAGTTCAAATGATTCTTGTGCTTCAGCTGGGACTACAGATGCATGCCACCACACCTGGCTAATTTTTGTAGTGATAGGGTTTTGCCATGTTGGCCAGGTTGACTTCGAACTCCTGGCCTCAAATGATCCATCCGCCTCGACCTCCCAAAGTGCTGGGATTACAAGTATAAGCCACTGTACCCGGCCAATTGTGTATTATTCTTCCAACATTTCTGTACATCTAGAATTATTTCAGTGTTAAAAATTAAACATTATATATAAGCATACTAAAATGTTTAGGAAACTATGCACTCAACTACAAATGGAATAGAAATAGAATTTTTCATTTTCTATCCTATACAATTCTGTTTCTTTTTTTCCTGAATTATAAAATGACGTAAATTCTCTATAGACATTTTAGAAATTAACACATTAGTAAACCTACCCTCCAAAAATAGTATTTTTTTTTGAGATTTGACACTTTGAAACCATCATAGACATTCTTACCACATAACCATTGATATATTCTTACACAAATATAGAAACATTCAAACAATCTAGAATCACTTGTTTTTTTTTTTTTTTTTTTTTTTTTTTTTGAGACGGAGTTTCGCTCTTGTTACCCAGGCTGGAGTGCAATGGCGCGATCTCGGCTCACCGCAACCTCCGCCTCCTGGGCTCAGGCAATTCTCCTGCCTCAGCCTCCTGAGTAGCTGGGATTACAGGCACGCGCCACCACGCCCAGCTAATTTTTTGTATTTTTAGTAGAGACGGGGTTTCACCATGTTGACCAGGATGGTCTCGATCTCTTGACCTCGTGATCCACCCACCTCAGCCTCCCAAAGTGCTGGGATTACAGGCTGAATCACTTGTTTTATGGGAGGGAAGGCCATGTCAATAATGTAGGAGGATGGATGGCCCACGGAGTAACACAAATTTCTGTTGTAAATGTTGGACACCAAGGGGAAGTGCTTGACCTGGAGCATTTGACGGGTAATGCTTGAGCTGGCTTTGGAAGGTGAGTGCTACAGTCAAGGAATGTAGATGATGCAGTGATGGAAAAACATGATAGTCAGGTGGGCTGGAGGTTAGGAAGGAGAAGGTAAAGCTGGAGGATACTTGATTTTGTTTTGAGTTTTTGTTTTTTTGAGACAGGGTCTTACTCTGTCTCCCAGGCTGGAGTGCAGTGGTGCCATCACAACTCACTGCAGCCTTGATCTCCTGGACTCAAGTGATCCTCCCACCTCAGCTTCCCAAGTAGCTGGGATGACAGGCTCACACCACCATGCCCAGCTAAGTTTTGTATTTTTTGTAGAGACAGGGTTTCACCATGTTGCCCAGGATGGTATAGAACTCCTGGACTCAGGGATCCACCCACCTCAACCTCCCAAAGTGCTGAGTACAGACATGAGTCATTGTGCCTGGTGGAGGATCCTGGATTTTGAAGGCCCCTGGATGACAGTGATTGTGATGCTGTCAGCCATAGGGCTTCCATGAAGAGTTCTGGGTAACAATGCACTGTAGTAAGATTTATATTTCAGACAGTTCATGAAGTTGGGTGGAGGACAGATTGGGGAAATGGGAACATGAAAGCCAGGGACAAAAAGCTGGGCAACCACTGAAATGTCTATAATACATTTTATATCCCAAGTACAAACACAGAGGTGACCATGTGTCCTGTCTGGCTGGAGACAATCTCAAATAACAGGTTTGGTCCCAGAGTAATTATATTAGCACCCACTTTCATGTTCAAACACGTCTCAGTCTGAAGATTAAATATCATCTACATATACACACCAACAAAACTTTCACAATTCTTACCTTTACTATGTGAAATGCACTGATATTGGCCAGGTGAGGTGGCTCATGCCTGTAATCCCAGCCCTTTGGGAGGCCGAGGCAGGTGGATCACGAGATCAGGAGTTCAAGACCAGCCTGGCCCAGATGGTGAAACCCCATGTCTACTAAAAATACAAAAAATTAGCTGGGCGTGGTGGCGGGCGCCTGTAATCCCAGCTACTCAGGAAGCAAAGAATCACTTGAACCATGGAGGTGGAGGTTGCAGTGAGCCAAGATCTCCCCACTGCACTCCAGCTTGTCTCAAAAAAAAAAAGAAAGAAAAAGAAAAAAAAGAAACCCAGATATTTTATTCTACTCTATTTTTAAAATTTTTATTTATTATTTTTTGAGACTCTGTTGCCCAGGCTAGAGTGCAAAAGCATATCTCAGCTCACTGCACCCTCTGCCTCCTGGAATAAAATGATTCTTGTGCCTTAGTCTCCCACGTAGCTGGGATTACAGGAATATGCATATGTCACCATGCCCGGCTAATTTCTGTATTTTCAGCAGAAACGGGGTTTCACCGTCTTGGCCAGGCTGGTCTTGAACTCCTAACCTCAGGTGATCCGCCTGCCTCGGACTCCCAAAGTGCTGGGATTATAGGCCTAAGCCACCTAGTCTGGCATTTTTTTGGTTTTGTTTTGTTTTGTTTTGAGACGGAGTTTCGCTCTTGTTACCCAGGCTGGAGTGCAATGGCGCGATCTCGGCTCACCGCAACCTCCGCCTCCTGGGTTCAGGCAATTCTCCTGCCTCAGCCTCCTGAGTAGCTGGGACTACAGGCACGCGCCACCATGCCCAGCTAATTTTTTGTATTTTTAGTAGAGACGGGGTTCCACCATGTTGACCAGGATGGTCTCGATCTGTTGACCTCGTCATCCACCCGCCTCAGCCTCCCAAAGCACTGGGATTACAGGCTTGGGCCATCGCGCCCGGCCAGGCACAGTCATTTTTTTTCAATGTTGGTTGCAACCTATTAAATTGATTTCGTGACACACTAGTTCATAACCCTTTGTTTGAACAACTCGGACCTAGAAGCCTGCCAAGTCTTGGGAAAACAGGAAGGAGACATAATTAAGTTTGGGACATGCATAGTCTAAGGCCTTGGTTCTCAACCTTGGTGGTGCAAGATCACGTGAGGTACGACTGAACGCAGAGATCTCCACAACTGCGGAGTTGTGCGTGTGCACGTGTGCCCGGACAGCTCCATGGAGACGGATGCACAGCCATAGGGCGTACAAGGGTATGTATACTTACAGAGTTAAGAACCCCTATGTCAGGGGTTACAGGAAGCCTGGGAAGACGCCCAGGAGGGAGGGACAGGGAGCAAGCGAGCGTGTGGCACCTTGAGGGTGCTCGGCGCGTCTCCATAAAGCCAACGAGCCCCTCTTCTTCGCTGGCCTCTCCAGGCCCTTGCTGTCTAATGGTGGAAGCCACATGACCAGGTGAGAGCGGCCAGCATGACCGGGCAGCCCCGCGGCGTCCCCTCGGCCGCGCCAGGACGCTCGGCACGCGGCGACGACGGCCCCACAGTGCCCCGCGCGCGCAAGCGCAGGCGGCGGCTCCCAGCCTGCAGCTCGTTGGCTGCTGACCCGGCAGCGGGCCGCTCAGGCAGCCCCGGCCGGGCCGCCCCGGTTCCGGGCAGCGGGGTAGGATGGCGCTAAAGCGGATCCAGAAGGTACGCACTTTCCCACCCTCCGACTCTTTGGGTGTCCGAAGCGTCGAGGTGTGGGCGGGGCGCCGCTGCCGCGAAGTAGAAGGTGACTGAGGCGCCGCGCGGCACACAGACACCCGTCTAACAGGGAGGCAGAACCGCCGCCCGCGCAGCCTGAAAAGCGGACGCAGCCCGAGAAAGGGACTGCGCGAGCGCGGGGCGGGGCCGGGCCGTGAACACGTGGGCTGCGTCACGCGGGCGGGGCGCCGTGGGGCCACCTGCAGCCTCCTGGGCAGCGGGCTGCTGGGTCCCCGGAGCAAGGCGGACTCGTTCCTGTAGGGTATCCAGAAGGGCGGGACAGAGGCATCGAGGATGGAGCTGGGTCCTGAGGGATGAGTAGGAACTCGGCAGGTGGGGAAGAGGGAAAAAGGCTGTCGCGGCAGCGGGGAGATCGCGAGGCTTGGAGGATAGACTGGGTAGGGGGGGAAGCTGAAGGGAGCATGGTGCAGACTCGGGTGGTCCTTAGGGGCAGTGCCGAAGTAACTGGTTTTTATCCTTCAGGTAAGAGGGAGTTCATGGGGGTTTAATGCATTAACTAAAAATTGGAAAACGCACAACAGTAGAAAAAAGAAGTATTTCTAATTCTCTCACTTTACTGTTTGTTAACATTTTACTATATCTACTTCCAGTTTTTTTCTATATTTAAAACAATTATACTGCATTTTGTATTCCACTTTTTCACATAATATTAAACATAAGCATGTTGTGAAATAGTATTTATAACTGTATTTATTAATTTTTTTTTTTTTGAGACGGTCTTGCTCTGTCGCCCAGGCTGGAGTACAGTGGCACAGGCATGGCTTACTGCAGCCTCAACCTTCTGGGTTCAAGTGATTTCCCCCTCCTTGGCTTCCCGGGTAGCTGGGACTACATGCCACCATGCCCAGCCAGTTTTTTATTTTTTGTAGAGACAGTGTCTCACTTTGTTGCCCAGGCTGGTCTCAAACTCCTGGGCTTAAACGATCTTCCTTCCTCTGCCTCCTAAATGTTGGGATTGCAACATGAGACACCCATGCCCAGTCCTATAACTAATTTTTTTTTCTTCTTCTGAGACGGAGTTTCGCTCGTTACCCAGGCTGGAGTGCAATGGCGCGATCTCGGCTCACCGCAACCTCCGCCTCCTGGGTTCAGGCAATTCTCCTGCCTCAGCCTCCTGAGTAGCTGGGATTACAGGCATGCGCCACCATGCCCAGCTAATTTTTTGTATTTTTAGTAGAGACGGGGTTTCACCATGTTGACCAGGATGGTCTTGATCTCTTGACCTTGTGATCCACCCGCCTCAGCCTCCCAAAGTGCTTGGATTACAGGCTTGAGCCACCGCGCCCGGCCTAATTTTTAACATTAACCTTCTACATGTACATGACCAGTAACTTGTTTAGTCATTACCTGTAGTAGGTAAAAGTATAGACTTGGGTGTCAGACAGACCTGGGTTAGAGAATGTGAGGTCACTTATAGTGGGACCTTCCACAAGGCACTTAATCATTCCTAGCCTCCCAGTCCTACATATGTATAGAGTTGTTTTGAGAATTCAGTGCTATGAAATGTGTTTAGCACATGGTTGCTGTATACCAAGCACTCAATATGAGTTAGCTGCTGCTGTTCAAAATTCTTCACCAAGTATTTGCTGTTATGAACTTTGTATTAGTCTGTTTTGTGTTGGTATAAAGGAATATCTGAGACTGGGTAATTAATAAAGAAAAGAGGTTTATTTGGCTCACAGTTCTGCAGTGTGTACAAGAAGCATGGTGCCAGCATCTGCTTCTTTTGAGGTCTCAGGAAGCTTACAATCGTGGCAAGAAAGCAAAGAAGAAGCAGGCGTGTCACCTGGTAAGAGAGGGAACAAGAGAGATGCCATGCTCTTTTAAATACCCAGATCTCTCATGAACTAATAGAGTGAGGACTCACTCATTATTGTGGGGAGGTCACCAAGCCATTCATGAGGAATCCGCCTCCATAACCCAGACACTTCCCACCAGGCCCCATCTCTAACATTGGGGATCACATTTCAGCATGAGATTTGGAGGGGACAAATACCCAAACTAGATCAACCGTCATTGTTCAATGAGCCTTTTTCTTAATTCACGTTACTGGGTTTGATTGCCGGAGGTGGAATTACAGGATCTCTGGGAGTATGACTCATTTTTAAAAAATTAGGCCGGATGCAGTGGCTCACGCCTGTAATCCCAGCACTTTGGGAGACCAAGGCGGGTGGATCATGGGGTCAAGAGATCAAGACCATACTGGTCAACATGGTGAAACCCCGTCTCTACTAAAAATACAAAATATTAGCTGGGCATGGTGGCGCGTGCCTGTAATCCCAGCTACTCAGGAGGCTGAGACAGGAGAATTGCCTGAACCTGGGAGGCGGAGGTTGCGGTGAGCCGAGATCGCGCCATTGCACTCCAGCCTGGGTAACAAGAGTGAAACTCTGTCTCAAAATAATTAATTAAAAAATAAAATAAAAATAAATAAAAAATTAAATAGCTGTCCAAAAGAGAGAAATTTGATGACTTATTATCTGAAAGGGGTCATCTGTCGTCCTAGGACTTTGAAGCCAGAGAATGGCATGCTGAGATCTGTATTATAAAAAGATCCTTCTGGCTGCAGTGTGGCCTGAAGTGGGGCAGAGGGAGACTAGAGGCCATTGTGAAGGTTTAGCAGAGGCTTTGTCCAAATTAATGACCATGGAATGGATACTAGGCCAAAGCAGTGCCTGGACCATATTGCAGAAGTGGAATTGACAGGACTTGAAGAGAGGATGTGGTGAAAGTGAAACAAGGAGATGCACAAAATGGGTCACTTGGTAGATAGTGGTGTCATTGTCTAGGATAGGGAATCAGAAGTTTTGAAGGCAGAGAGGAGGGTAGGAGAGATTAAGGAGTAAAGGTTTGAGCCTACATATTTAAAAGTGTCAACTGATAAGCTTTATAAAACAGAAGGTTTGGAACACAAGTTTGGACCTTGAGCATGAAATGTCAACTATAGATCCAAGGTAGCTGAAGTCATAAGGCCAGGGAGAGCTTTTTCTTGATAAGAATCAAGGACAGCCGGGCGCGGTGGCTCAAGCCTGTAATCCCAGCACTTTGGGAGGCCGAGGCGGGTGGATCACGAGGTCGAGAGTTCGAGACCATCCTGGTCGACATGGTGAAACCCCGTCTCTACTAAAAATACAAAAAATCAGCTGGGCATGGTGGCGTGTGCCTGTAATCCCAGCTACTCAGGAGGCTGAGGCAGGAGAATTGCCTGAACCCAGGAGGCGGAGGTTGCGGTGAGCCGAGATCGCGCCATTGCACTCCAGCCTGCAGCCTGGGTAACGAGAGCGAAACTCCGCCTCAAAAAAAAAAAAGGAATCAAGGACAGGCCAGACAGAGTGGCTCACACCTAATCCCAGCACTCTGGGAGGCTGAGGCAGGTGGATTGCTTGAGTCCAGGAATTCAACACCAGCCTGGGCAACACAGTGAAAACCCGTCTCTACTAAAAATACAAAAAAATGGCTGGGCATGGTGGCTCACGCCTGTAATTCCAGCACTTTGGAGGCCGAGGTGGGTGGATCATTTGAGGTGAAGAGTTTGAAACCAGCCTGGCCAACATAGTGAAGCCCCTTCTCTAATAAAAATACAGGCCAGGTATGGTGGCTCACACCTGTAATTCCAGCACTTTGGGAGGCCAAGGTGGGTGGATCCTGAGGTCAGGAGTTCGAGACCAGCCTGGCCAAGATGGTGAAACCCTGTCTCTAAAAAGGTAAAAAATAAAAAAATACAAATACAAAAAAATTTAGCCAGGCATGGTGGCATGTGCCTGTAATCCCAGCTACTCGGGAGGCTGAGGCAAGAGAATTGCTTGAACCCAGGAGGTGGAGGTCTCAGTGACTCGAGATTGTGCCACTGCACTGTGACAGAGTGAGACTCTTTCTCTTTTTTTTTTTTTTTTGAGACAGAGTTTCGCTCTTGTTACCCAGGCTGGAGTGCAATGGCGTGATCTCGGCTCACCACAACCTCCGCCTCCTGGGTTCAAGCAATTCTGCCTCAGCCTCCTGAGTAGCTGGGATTACAGGCACGCGCCACCATGCCCAGCCAATTTTTTGTATTTTTAGTAGAGACGGGGTTTCACCATGTTGACCATGGCCACCTCACCCGGCCGGCTCTTTCTCAAAAAAAATAAATAAAAATAAAAAGGCCGGAAGCGGTGGCTTACACCTGTAATCCTAGCACTTTGGAAGGCCAAGGTGGGCAGATCATGAGGTCAGGAGATCAAGACCATCCTGGCCAACATGGTGAAACCCTGTCTCTAATAAAAATACAAAAATTAGCTGGGCATAGTAGCATGTGCCTGTAGTCCCAGCTACTTGGGAGGCTGAGGGAGGAGAATCACTTGAACCTGGGAGGCAGAGGTTGCAGTGAGCCGAGATCACGCCACTGCCCTCCAGACTGGTGACAGAGTGAGACTCCGTCTCAAAATAAATAAATAAATAAATAAAGAGAGGCCTGTAATCCCAGCTACTCAGGAGGTTAAGGTGGGAGAATCATCTGAACCAGGGAGGTCAAGGCTGCAGTGAGCCTCACTACTGCACTCCAGCCTGGGCAACCAGAGTGAGACTCTGTCTCCAGAAAAAAACCTGAGATGAAATAATTTAGGAAGAAAAGAGTTTTAATTGGCACATGGTTCCACAGGCTGTACAAGAAGCATGGTATTAGCGTCTGCTTTGCTTCGGAGGAAGGGAAACTTAGCGTCATGATGGAAGGCAAATGGGGAGCAGAGCAGGCATATCACATGGCCAGAACAGGAGCAAGAGAGAGAGCAAGGGAAGGTGTGACACACTTTTATTTAGTTATTTATTTTTGAGACAGGGTCTCACTCTGTCGCACAGGCTGGAGTGCAGTGGTGCAATCTCAGCTCACTGCAGCCTCCACCTCCCTGGTTCAAGTGATTCTCATGTCTCAGCCTCTAGAGTAGCTAGAATTA